CTCCTGGACTGCTCTCTGGGTCACGTGTTCCTCTTTTGTCTGTATTGGCCTTAGTTTCTTCTCCTTAACATCACCGTCAAGGGCACTTTTGTCTTTTATGCTTTATTTGATTAACATCTCTCTCTCTCTCACTGGACTGTATAACTCACTGGGGGCAAGGACTGTATCTATATTTATCATAAGAGAAAAGTAGTACCTAGCACAGAGTAAGAACTCAAGAATATCTGAAGATTGTAGATGGATGGATGAGTGGCTTTTTAAGTTGTCTATTATACCAGTTAGAATGGAGCACTCTTCTACTTCCAAGGTGTTGGAGGCTCAGCTTGGACTGAAGCAGCAGATGGAGAAAGAGATTTTCTGTTTGCCCTCCCCAAAAGGGGGCAGATGTGTCCTTCCTGGCAGAGACGTCCAGTTGCCCTGGTCACATCCTAGGGCCATTTTCCTCTCTAGCTTTTCCTGAGCATCAGCTCTGCTGGCTTTTATGCTGCCGTACCCAGGGGGCTTCCATCAGCATGCCCCTCTGTTTCCACCTAGGTCCAGTCTCCACTCCGGTCCATTCTCCATTCCAGTTAGGAATACCCACCTTTGCCCTGAGTGCCTAGAAACTAAAGGGGTGATTTTGAGTCTTAGGACAAGAGTTTCAGGAAAGTACTAAAACAGTTTTGAGCTTGGGCTGAGGACTCTGATCTCCTGAGCAACACGACTTAAGGTTTCTGAGGTTTTGTTTCCTTATCTATAAAATGGGGATAATATTAATTTTAATAATATATTCTATTTATTTCAAAATAGCCAAAGTTTATAATTTCAACATATAATCAGTAATAAAATAACTACTGAGGATTTTCCGGTCTTTGAATTTATAATTAAGTCTTTAAAATCCAATGAGTGTCTTACGTGTGTTAGCGCACTGCAGTGTGTCCCAGCCCCTGGGAGCTTCTGTATTAGGCAGTGCTGTCTCGGTGAATTCGTATAAAACACAGTGCCCAGTTCATACCTAGCACTGAGCAAATGTTGGCCAAATTATTGGTACTCGTTCTAAAACATCAAAAATTGGGTGGTCAAACATTTGTACTGCACGTTTGCCTCTATTGCCCCGTGGGGAGAGTAGAGGCCTCACCTCTGCTGTGGGGTGCCCCCCGCTTCCAAAGGAATGAAGAGTTGACTTTAAGTGTTCTTCCCCTTTCCCTGGAAGTTGGCCTCAAGGTTTCCGAATGAGGTCAGTTTGGCGGTTTATGGTCGACTTTTCTTCTGGAGGTGGGAAAGGGGAGACTCAGCGCGCCTCAAGTGCTGCGTGCCTGTCTCTGTTTTTTGGCTCTTTTCTGTTTAATTATTTGAAGCTGGAACCACTTGACTTTAAAACAAAACATATGGGCTGAGAGTAATTGGGAGGATGTTTGCTAGTGATGTAGCACCGAAGATATGCACAGTTGAGGCCCCGGCCCTGCGCCGCTTGCTTGCTTAGGTAGTGAGTGCTTTTCTTCACTGTGTTTTTTCTTCACATTTTTAAACCTTGTTTGGAGAGTCACAGTTAAAGCAGGAAGTATTAGAGCAAGATTGTAGAGGAAATTGTCTGTGAGTCTTCTTTAAATTCTGGTTCCCACCCCCCTGGGTGGAAAATCACTGCTTTCCAATCTGTTACTATATGATTTGTGAAGGAAAAGGGGTTTTCAGAGTGCCCAGAAGAGAGGAGAGCTTCATACAAAGAGGAGAGAGTTGACCCACTGTTGAATTTCTCTGTTCTTCTGGGTCACTCCATTGCTGACACGCACATGGGAATTTCTGTTCTACAACCAACCAGTCCTTGTGTGAAGGCAGGGTTCTCATTGTTTAACCTCTTCAAGTCCACTTTGCTTGCTGGGGAAGGAATATACGATGTCCTCGTCATATCACATGTAATTCTAACCTAAATGCCTCTACTTTCTATCCCATGGGGGAAAATGGGAATTTTTCAGGATTAGTAAGAATGCATACTTTGATTCGGTCTCCTCTTGGTTCACATCTCTGCTGCTTCGTTCAGTAGCGGTGTGCTTCTAAGCAAATGAAACGCTGTAAGCCTCATTCTTCCCTTTCTTAAAGTGGGGTTAATAACAATGCCTCTTCCACAGTAAAATTGTGGTGAAGCTTAAAAGAGACACTTCATACAAAGCACTAATAATAGCACAGAGCCTGTCCAGTAATAAGAAATAAATGTTAGCGATTAGACAGGAGCCCTCCGCGGGGACACGTCCGTCCCCCCCCCCGCCCCCCCCGCCAAGAGGCATAGCTGACCGTGATTGTTCTCTGCCACGCCATCCCACCCACTGCTTATGGTGACAGTGATTAAGTACTGCACCAGGGAAGATGGTTGACCATTTGTCCATGAAGAGCTTTAGCTGTGAGAAGGTGAGGCTTTTCTCTGGGATGAGTTTCACATCAATGGGTGTGAAGTCAAGCACTCTGATTTCAGGGTCTGATGGGATGCTGTGTCTGCACTTGTCACTCATTACCCTATTGTGCCTAGGACCTCGGCATATGAAAGTAACATGCTGAATTGCTCTGTTTTTGTACTACAGAGTCCCAAGTATCTTGGAGTCATTTGGGGGACTGGTGCATTTGTCGTTTTCCGTCAAAAACCTAAAGTGACACAGCACTCTGACCAGGGCCATAGAGGGACCGAGCATAGTTTTCTGTCGGGATGTTCACAACAACAACTCTTTCGAAACCCTTTCCAAACCTCTAAGAGCAAAGAGCAGGAAGAAAGAGGTCTTCTGTTTTTGCCAAATCAAGGACACGCTGGAGCTTTTGCGTCTGTGGGTTCTGAAGGTATTGGATGAGATTTCACTGGAGTCCAATAATTGGCAGGAGATTTGGGACATTCTGCTTCTAAAAACACAACCAGATTTTCAGGGCCGTCAGCTGTCTGTTTTTTTTTTTCAGTCCCCCCCTTTCCCCTCCACTCCCGCTGTTTCCCCCAGCCCCCCTCGGATTGATGAGCCAATGCCCACAACGTGTCAGCAACCACCTGCTGCGGATGAAGACCTCGCCAGGTGGACAGCTCTCCGATTTCCCGAGGACGGCAAAGAATAAGCACCCGTGCGCACCTCTCTCAGTGGACAGCTTTCCTGACATTTAACTTAATCAAGATGTTAGTAAAATAAACAGGGTGCACTGCTGCCATCAGATTGAAATTGCTCGTTAACCTGCCCGCTCTCTTTTCACTTCAGTGTTTGGGAAGGAAATTCAGAGTTGCTCTTGGTAATGAAGATGAGGAATAAGATGTGCCCTTGCTCATGGGCAATTACACCCGGTCCTGACCACTGAGCTCTGAGGGGGTGGACAGCCCTGTACAATGTGTCATCAAACATGGGACACCCTGATTGCAGGACCTGCTATTATTTTAGGTAAAATCAAGGGGAAAGAACTGAGATACCATCGCTTTTAAGACCTGTCCCGATTTCAGACATGTTAAAATGTGGGGGGCGGGGAGAAATGTGTATCTCAGAGCAGATGAAATAAAGTGACAACTAACTACAATGGGAAATCCCCCTGATTACTGCTTGCTCCCCCACCCCCTACTCAACACAGCTCAGGGGCAGCACTGTGGTGTTTGTGTGCTCCCTGGCATATGCGAAGTTATGGCACTGAGTTGAGACCAGGCCAAGCTGTGGAAGCCCTCTCAAGGACGATAGAAGTCATTTAAGTTTCTGAAAAATGGAAGACTCCAGGATTTTTCTTGGGTCACATTGGACTTTGTAAGATTCATGTTACCTTCTGAAGAAGTGGTAAAGAGTGTGTTGAGGGCTTCTGCATTCCCTCTTCCTGGCCCATTTCCAGTGGCATGATGGTGTAGAGAGAGAGAATCACCAGCTCTTTTCCATTCATGTCCCTGGTATTCCATTTTCTAGTGAATACCAGGCTTGGCTGTATGGGGGCAGGTACTGTGCCCTTTCCTACATTAAAAGGCAGCATTAAACAGTATTTATAACTTTGGTTTTACTCAAGGATCTACCTAATTATTATTCTTCATAATGTCAATGACTTCGAAGCACCTACATGTCCCCAACCCTTATTTTTAAAAAAACTTAAAAATTTTTATTTTTCCAGCTTTATTGAGATAAAAGTGACAAATTTATAAGATATTTAAAGAGTACAACATGATGATTCGATATGCATATACATTGTGAAGGAATTCCCCACCCTCGAGTTAACACATCCATCACCTCACATAGACCTTCCTGTGTGTGACATCATTTCCGTTCCCTTAGCGGAAGTTCAGTTTTACAAGAGAGTGTCACCAACTGTAGTCACGGTGTTTACATTAGATCCTCAGACCTTATTCATCTTACAGCTTGTACCCTTTTGCTAACCTTTTTCTATTTCCCCCAGCCCCTGGCAACCACTTTTTTACTCTGTTTCTATGAGTTCAATTTATTTATTTAGGTTCCACATGTAAATGATTCTGTGTGGTATTTATCTCCTCTGTCTGGCTTATTTTACTTTGCATAATGCCCTCCGGGTTCATTCATGTTGTTGAAAATGACAAGATTTCCTTCTTTTCTAAGGTTGAATAATATTCCATTGAATATATATACCACGTTTTCTTTACTCAACCCTTCTGAATGCTTAATTTTAATCAACGTGATTATGGTATTTTTCTGTCAAAGGCTGTTACTCAGATTTTAGATAGGAGTATTTCTCAGCCTAGTAAAGTGACAAAAGAATCGGTTGAGGGGCGCCTGGGTGGCTCAGTCGTTAAGCATCTGCCTTCAGCTCAGGTTGTGATCCCAGGGTCCTGGGATCTAGCCTCGTGTTGGACTCCCTGCTCAGCGGGAAGCCTGCTTCTCCCTCTCCCACTCCCCCTGCTTGTGTTCCCTCTCTCGCTGTCTCTCTCTCTGTCAAATAAATAAATAAAATCTTTAAAAAAAAAAAAAAAAAGAATCGGTTGAAAACTATTTGTATTTGTGTTAGTAAAAACATGGCATTTACCCTTATACTTAACACGCTTTCTTTCTTTCTTTCAGTTTTTGGGAATAGCATTTCTTGGAATTGGACTGTGGGCGTGGAATGAAAAAGTAAGTTGAATATCATGAAAATGCACCCCTTTTGGTTGTTAGAGGTTGCTCATTGTACTACATGTTGTCTCCTTTTCCTCTTTGACAACTGCAGAGTATAAAGAAACATTCTTTAATGAAAGAAAGTGTTCTTGGAAGGTAATGTCCTATTTCTAAGGCTCTTTAGAATGAAGACTAAATCAGTCATTATATCAAAATAATTACAAAAGTAACAATACATGTGCATAACAGAGATTATGTGTTGAAATTGTATCAGTTAGCTGGAGATAACCTATTTTTGTGGAACATTTCCTCACTCTGGCACAAGAATTTCAGTAATGCTTATAAATATCACTAAACCACCTGCAGCCTTCTCTCTCTCTCTCTCTTTTTTTAACCCTTTAGAAAATTACTCAAGCCATAAAGATGATTTTTCTTTTCAGTGTGAGCATTATATAATAAGCTATTAGCATGTTGTATGAAGGAAGCTGGATATAATTCATGTTTGAAAATCAGATGAACTTCACGTAAATACTAAAGAATGTGAATACTTCTCTGCTGATTGAAAGTATTCAGGAATGTTAAATTTATAAGCAAATACAATATACGGCATTTATGATTACAATATTTTTGTACTTATGAGCAAATACAATATTTCCTAGGAAATATTTCCTCAACATTTCCTAGGAAATAATCTGGAAATATAGAGTAGCATATTCTAGGCTATGATGAAGATACAATGTTCTGGACAGTTGATGCTCTAAATAGCACGCTCATGACCCCACCACCCTGTGTCCACTTCTCTGCCTTACTTCCCATCTGCACCTTTTGTTTCTTGACAAGTTCTACTGAGGCCAAGCACTGGAATTCAAAAATTAACATGAACTCCTTTTTTCTTCCTTCTTTGGGAGTTGAATCATTGACAGGACTTTATCTCCCACCTTGCGGGAGTGAGGGAGTGTGTGGATGGGTGAAAACTCACAAACAGAGAGATTAGCTTCAGTTTTCCCAGAAGACCTGTCTGTTATCCCTTCGGTATTTCTTCCTTTGACCTTGACCATGGCCCGAAGCCAAGAGTTCCTGTGAGATATTCTGTGTATTAGGAGAGCAAAACTAAGAAAGTCCAGCAAACAAAAGATGCCAGTAGGAATTTCTACAAGTAAAAAAAAAAAAGTTCAGATTGCATCAAATAAAACTCAGAGTAAATCCTGGGTTTTGAAAGTGAACCACCCTCTGTTTATTTACAAAATACTTCTACAGAATGTAAAATGTTTTATAGAAAACCAACCACCTGCCAGCAACATTCTGAGGCAGGGCAGTGATGAAGGGAGACAAGGTCCCCAAACAGACATAATTTCATCTCTAGAAACTTTTATGTTGAATACTTGTCTTTTATGATTATGATTCGCTTCTGCAAATCAGTCCCCTTGTAAGCTTGTAGATTTGTATTGGTGGAATCTCAGAAATGTTACTTTTAGAAGGCTTCTGATTGGTTAATGCCGGATAACACAGCTTTTTATAATCCTCCTTTAATAAGAGTCTTCTATCTGATTTGAAAAGATGTTGGAAGGCATTAAATGAACTAATTGTCTTTGGTAGCAATAAACAGACCATTGGTAATTTTGAAGGTTTTTTTTTTTTTCTTCTCTTTGTGAAATATAATTACCTTCTTGTTTCATCAGTTGCCCCAAAGGTCTCTTCTGTGATAAAATCATAAAATTCTAAAGCTGACAGTGTCACACAAATATCAGACCAAGAGGGTGCTGTGGTCTTTGGGTGGGGGGGAAATAGCAGTCCCCTCTTTGTCAAGGCCACTACCAATAAATGGAAAGTTTCCCTGGAGAGCTGAAGTTACTTGGCGAATCACCCGGCTACTGTTTAGCAGAATTCTGTGAGCCAGGACCAGGTGGAGGTAGCAGAGGGTAAAGGACATGTAGGAACCCACTTTGGTGCACATTGGCCGTATCTCCGCACCCCTGCACTCCCCCACCCCTCAGCATGGGGACACACCGGTGAATGATGCAGAGTCCCTGCAACTGTGGGGCCCTGACAATGAGCAGTTAACTAGCTGAGGACTTTTTTTTTTTTTAAAGATTTTATTTATTTATTTGACAGAGAAAGACACAGCGAGAGAGGGAACACAAGCAGGGGGGAGTGGGAGAGGGAGAAGCAGGCTCCCCGCCGAGCAGGGAGCCCGATGCGGGACTCGATCCAGGGACTCCAGGATCATGACCTGAGCCGAAGGCAGTCGCTTAACCAACTGAGCCACCCAGGCGCCCTAGCTGAGGACTTCTTACAACCTTGGATGCTACACTCTGATGCTGGCCACCAAGTTCTCTCTAACCGCAGTGGATTTGCACTGGTCCCCCTGCTTCCTCAAGAGACTTCTTTAAGATGTATGTCTGATGATTTCACTTCTCTGCTCCAGTCAGCTGATTCTCCATAGCTCGCTGCAGAACGTAAAGTTGATAGAGTCCCCTTTGGGCCCTTGCCCCAACTCTGAGACCTTTTTCCTACTTTAATGGCATCTCTGCCTCTGCCCTCACTGGCCCTGCTCTAGACACGGTCCCCCAGGAGTCTCAAGGGACATTTGTTTCCCACCTGCTCTGAGCACTGCTTGCCTAGCTATCACCAAGCTTTGCTCCTTCTCCTCCAAGTCTGGCTCAAATGACCTGCCTGTGGAACATATATGACCACCCGCCTCTGCACTTTTTTTTTCAAATTAATTAATTAATTAATTTGACAGAGACAGCGAGAGCAGGAACACAAGCAGGGGGAGTGGGAGAGGGAGAAGCAGGCTTCCCGCCGAGCAGGGAGCCCGATGTGGGACTCGATCCCAGGACTCCGGGATCATGACCTGAGCTGAAGGCAGCCACTCAACGACTGAGCCACCCAGGTGCCCCACCCGCCTCTGCACTTTGGACCTGCTTCCTCACACTCATGTCCATGTGACATGCTGTTTCCCGTCATCAGACCTTTCATGGCATGTCCTCAGCATCTTGAATGGTGCCTGACACAGACTCTAGGGAAATGTATTTTCTAAGAAGTAAATTCAAGAAGGGGGATGAACAATAAATCAAGGTCCCAGAGAAGGTGCAGTGGGGTTGGATGGGGGTGCCCAGGGAAGAAACACACAGGGTGGGGCGGTGGTGGGGGGAGAGTGGGCCAGTGGGAAAGAGGGACAGAGAAGGGCAGCAGTCTTCCCCATGGCGGTCTGCAGGCTCTCTTCCCCTTGGCCTTCACACCCCTACTTCTGGGGTACCTTAGGACACTGGGCGCAGGGTGGGCACTGAGCAGGCCCTGCACTGCTCCCATCCCGGCAGGACTGGCACCTGTAATGCGGGGCCATGGAACCCGAGGCGACACTATGGGTAGTCACCATGCCACACTACCGGGCTACCCCTCCTGCTGAGCCTCCTCTCCCCATGACCCCCTCCCTCTGACCCTCTCTTCCTGTGACCCCCTCCTACTGACCCCATTCCCCTTGACAAACCCCCCCCCCCCCCAAAAAAAACCGCACCTGCGTTCAGGTATTGGTGAGTGCTGCTGAGAAAGATAAGGTGTAGTTAGTGGTAGGAGAAGGGGTCTTTTTTAGAGAAGAGTAGTGGGGAATGGTCTCCCTGTGGAAGTGGCATTGGAGCAAGACCTGGAGGAAGTAGGCGGGATCTGTGGAGCGCTAGGACAATAGCATTACAGGCAGAGGGAATAGCGAGTATGGTGGCCGTGAGGCAGGGCCTTGGGGATTCCAAGGAACAGGAAGTAGACCAGTAGGGCTGGAAGGGAGAGGGCAAGGGCAAGAAGGAGGAGGAGATGTGGCAAGAGGGGCAGGCAGAGGTCAGAGCAGACAGGGTCATGCAGAAGTTTGGATGAGAGGAAGTCACCACAGCATTTTGGGTTTTGATAAGGGAGTGTCCTGATCTGGCTTTTTTTTTTTTTTTTTTTAAGTATCTGGCTTTTAAGATTGCTCTGGTGGTTGTACGGAATAAGAGCACAGCTTTGGGGCTGAACAGACCTGAGTGCCAGTGGTGCTCCTTCTGGGCAACTGTGTTAACTTCTCTGAGATGCCCTTTCCTCGTTTGTGCCACAGGGAGACAGTAATGTCACCACTAGGACTGTCGTGAGGATTAAATGAGATGGTCCCCTGGGAGTGCTGGGACAAAGGAAATGCTTCCTGTATTCAGAGCCCGCTCCCCGGACACGGGACTACAGCGCGCTGCTTCCGCATGGGGAGGGACAGAGTGGTGGCATCGGAAGCTGCCTCGGATTTTAGGAGTGTTCAGGCTTTGATCCACGGACCAGAGAATTGGTTTTGTTCTGCTGTCTCTGAAGGAGGATATGATCTGCATTGATCACCTTGGTGACTGCAAAGGCGACTCTGTTGAAGCCCTTTGTAAGGTTAACTTCGCAACTGGACCAGGCCTCTGAGGGAGGAAATTCTGAGGTGAACCAGATTTGGCCAAGGGTGGTGGGCAGCATGCTCCTCCTGGGCCAATAACACCAGCCAGTGAATCAGTATTCCCCTCCCCCCCGCCCACTTAGTAGAGATGTGGGGACATTTACTTGACGGAACGCCTAGAGTTGGATGTTCTCCAAACTGGGTCACACCTGGAAGGATCAGATTTCCTTAATAGACTAGGCTTTACACATTTTTATGTGAAGTACAGAAACATTAGAGACAAAAATTATTACCCGCCCCCCCATACATACTTAATACCGGGCTGAGCCTTAAACCTAGGGCTAATACTGCCTTTGTCTTTTTTCTATTTTTTTTAAGATTTTATTAATTTATTTGACAGAGAGTGAGTGAGCACAAGCAGGGGAAGCGGCAGGCAGAGGGAGAGGGGGCCTGCCAGGATCATGACCCGAGCCGAAGGCAGACGCTTAACGACTGAGCCACCCAGGCGTCCCTACCATTGACTTTTAGACATAATAATTAAATAATCCATTTTATCTGAATTCTGAATCGACTGTGCAGATGCAACGGATGACTGTGTTTCCAGGGGAAACTGGTTTATGTGCAG